ACAGCTTTCTAAAAATCTACCCTTAAAGTTTGTTCCTAAGGTGGGGAGAAGACAATGTATTTGTGTTTATTGTAACAAATTTTTAGTGGAAAAGAATAGGGTCCTAGAGAGAATGAGGGGGAACTAATTTAGATGGTGGTGGGAGTGTCAGAAGAAACCTCACTGAGGAAGTAACATTAGTGAAACTTAAAGGAAGAAGTAGGACATAGCCTGGCAGAGACTGAGGACTAGCTTCTAGGACTGGGTAGCTAGGCGAACACAACATTACAGGCAAAGACACTAACTGAGGAAGAACGGGTCTCAGTGGGTTTGGGGATCAGATGGAAGGCCCCTGTAACTAGAAAAATAGGAAGCAAGTAGGTAGAGTAGGTAATGCTACAGTGTTGAGTAGGTAATGCTACAGGCCAGGGAACTGCTTATGAAGGCTATGTGAAGGGTTTTCTATTTTATACTAAGTGCAGTAGAAAGCAAAGGTGTTTAAGCATGGAAGTGCCTTGATAATTCTAACATGGCTCTGGCTTCTATTTGGAGAATGAAATGGAGGAGTGGGGTGAGCTGGGGGTAAAGGATAAGCAAAAAATGTAAATAGACCAGTAAAGAAACGTGTGGTCCAGCTGAAACTAAAGGTAGTCTGTACATTTAGTGGAGAGAGGGAAAAATAGATGGAATAAATAGATAATTTGCCAGGCAAAGGAATGCAGGGGTCTAACAGCTTTCTAAAAATCTACCCTTGAACTTTGTTCCTAAGGTGGTTTCCTTTTCCTATTCTTAACTTCTAGATCATAAAAGGGCTTCAATATGAAATCTATCAAATCATCCAGGATGGAAGCTAAGTTGTAAACTTGGAGCCACCTCCAAGGGAAAGACAGGAATTCCATATCAAAGAAAAAACTAGGGGTTAGCAAGCTATGTGGAAGAGTAAAATCGTACATCCATATTCTGAACTGAATGTAAGCATTTAAGAGAAAAGCTAGACTTTTACTACTGATAAATGGTTACCAGGGAGAAAAACAAAAAATTACGGTATTTTGTCAGGTGATTCATTGGGGAAATCCAGCATTTCAGCCAAAAAAAATTGTAATGAATTAGCCCCTTTTAAAAATGACATAGAACAGAAGTCATGGTGCCATTTGCAGAGTGCCAGGAAACAATGATTCACAAAACTGACACAATTTCACTAGCAGAAAATGACTTTCACACAAGTTTCAACCATCTTGAATGTGTATCCACGAAAAACCAACTAAGATCAGGTCTTTCCAAGATTGCCCATCATTTACCTTTTGCTATTCACTCAGAAGAATTCCTAGTGCCAACCCCCAATCAAAGGATTTAAAAAATGAGTATTAATGGAAAAACAATTAGTATATTCAAGTCAACTTTTAATTTTGCTACAAGTGGAAAAAGACCATTCTGTATTCAGGAGAAAACATGTTCTGATTTCCAAGAATATGGTTTAACAACCCAGGGATTAGGGGCTATACAGCACGATGGTTGAAATAGGCCTTTTGGGTGGGACTGGACCCAGGTCCCACTAATGCTTGGTTTTCCACACTGTAAAATGGAGATACTCATACCAGTTTTTTGTTTTTACGGGGTTTCAGATATTTCAAAAGGAGACAATGTATTTATAAATGTTTAGCACACTATCTGATACATCCCTGAGTGGGTACATTTTATCTTTATCCCCATTTGTTCCTAGAGTCAATAAGGGTGGTGAAATGGATTAAAAGATGGCCACAAATTATTTGACATCCCTCCCGTCAAGAAATGAGGTTTATGTCCGCTCTCCTTAAATTTGGGTGGCTCTGTGTCTGCTTTATCAGTGGAACAGAGTGGAAGGGATACTGTGCCAGTTTCCAGTACCAGGCCTTTAAGTGACTGCCAGCTTCCATTTCTGTGTCTCTTGAAACACTTGCTCTTAGACCCAGCACCATGGTGTGAGAAAACCGAAGAATCCCCTGAATCCTATACATGGGGAGGAACTTGGACTCCCAGCCGCCGGCCCCAGTTCTCTGGCCAATGTCCACAACTGAGAGCCAAGAGCCAACACTAATTTGCCAGCCACGTGAGTAAATTCCTTGGAGGGAGCTCCTCTAGTCCATTCCAGCTGCCCCAGCCGACACCAACTGGAATAGAGACTAGTGGCCCTGCCAAGCCCTGCCCAAATTACAGATTAGTGAGCAAAATGGTTATTTTAAGCCACTAAATTTTCAGGTTGGTTTGTAACAGCAGTAGATAACCAGAACAGATTAAATCAAGGTGTGTTCCTCCTCCACTCCATCAATGACTTAGGAAGGGTAGGCAAATTCATTTTGTCCAGAAATGTGTGGTATATAGAGAAAGGTCATAAAGAAATTATCTGAGTTTGCTGTGAGCTGTGTGACCAGGGCTTGACTAAACTCAGTCCAGTAATTCAGCAAACCTTTTAAAATGCCTATCTTCCACTTGGTGCTAAACAGAGTAACTCATAATTGATGTCACCTGACCGGGCGTGGTGGCTCATGCCTGTAATCCCAACACTTTGGGAGGCCGAGGTGGGCAGACCACCTGAGGTCAGGAGTTCAAGACCCTGCTGGCCAACATGGTGAAGCCCTGTCTCTACTAAAAATACAAAAATTAGCCGGGCGTGGTGGTGCACGCCTGTAAGTCCAGCTACTCGGGAGGCTGAGGCAGAGGTTGCAGTGAGCCAAGTCTGTGCCACTGCATTCCAGCCTGGGCGACAGAGCAAGACTCCGTCTCAGAAAATGAAATAAATAGGCCGAGCACAGTGGCTCACGCCTGTAATCCCAGGACTTTGGGAGGCCGAGGCGGGCGGATGACCTGAGGTCGGGAGTTCAAGACCAGCCTGACCAACATGGAGAAACCCCGTCTCTA